CATATAACATTCAAAATAATCATTTCATCCCAAGCAAGGGAATAATACCAGTAAGGCACAACGAGTTACTAGAAACAACCTATAAGCCAATCCTAAATAGAAAACAATCGATATTCAGAGTGTTCAAAGAACAAAATATTCAATGAAAGATTAAGTCACGGGATAGCAGCAATATTTGAGTATGTCTAATATATATCCTATATTGACACTGTGCACACACGCATATATATATATATATATATATATATATATAAGATCAGCCTGTCACGCTACCTTGGTTTCAACATTTCGGTATCCTCGGGTGATTTGGGCTAAATTTGGTTGAAATCAAGATAACGTGTTTGGTTGATCTCCGATTTTTTCCTTTAAAATCTCTTCATGTTAAATTATTTCCTTCATACGTATATTGAATAATTTAATACAACAGTTTCCTTGTCTTATTCAATTCTGACCAATAACTATATATATATATATGTGTGTGTGCACTCACGTGTTCGGACTGGGAAGGCGATTCCAGCAAGCAGCACTACTGGAAAACATCTGAAAAAGATACGATAGTTTGACTGGAGCTTGTCACCTTGGATGGAGGGAACAGTTCGAAAGACCACGGAAGTTGGGTTAGCACGGTAACACGTAATCGTAACCGGGGGTTTAAGCCTGCTGGTGTTGTTTAAATGGTTAATCACAAGTGATCTCTGTGGGTCTTGAAAAAAAAAACATGTACCTGAGCAGGCTTTTCCAACAGGGATCGACTAAATGCCCGAACTAACTGATGTGTTTGAAAACGAGTACTAGACCATTGTTTTTCATATATTTAATTTACTCTGTTTATAAGAAACGGTACACAATATCAGATATGTTACTTTCAACTGATGTCTTACGTTATTAAAATACTGCTAACGTGTTTTTTTTTATGAAAACTACAATATATTTTTAGTTGTAAGACACACACACACATATATATATATATATATATATATATATATATATATATATATATATATATATATATATATATATAATATGGAAACATATTTTACTAAAGCAATATGTCATGTTTCTGTATAATTCATTCTTTATTAGTTTACTTATTAAAACACTTTTATATTCTATAACTTTCATCAATCCTTCAACCATTGATTCTTTACTGTTCTGAATTTGATGAGTGGCGGCAGTTTATTTTCAAGAGATTGTCTTTGCTTGAATATTGTTTTCCATTATCATATACACCTCGTCTGATGAAGGACGCTAGGTTTTCTATCAGATCAACATCTAAAGTGGCAGAAATCCGTTATATTCATCTGGTCTTTTGCAAGCTAGTAATATACAGCTGTGTAGAATATAAAGTAACGGTATTTTGAATGCATATATTCATCAGCTTAAACATTTAACATAAGTACTTTTAACATATGACCGCTACCACTCAAAAAAATACTTAGATGAAGGACCCAACGGATAGTCCAAAAATATACTTCTATATTGATCACTAAAAGAAATGGGGAATTTTTTTTATCTATTTCTTCGCCCAATTTACGTTTCACTTTATTATGGTTACTTTTAGTTTTAATGCTTTCCTGTCTTTAACCAATGTTTATAATACTCTACATTGTTTCTCTTTACATTCGCAACGTCAATGTTTTTTGCAGGAAAAAGCATTATTTCTTGTTCATAAATCTTTCAATTTTTCTCAAATCTTTTTTGTCATACTTAAAGCCAGTTTTTACTTGTTTTAATGGACCTTTTGTTTTTTGTGTTTTGTTTTTGGTTTTTTTTTTTTTTGCTTTCCTGACAATTTTTTCAATTACTTTATTGATTATTGTGCTTTTATTTTTCAACTTATTTTATTTTTTATTCATTTATTTTATTTATTTAATTATTTTATTTTATTGTTTTTCAATTTTCAAAATTCTGTTAACATTTATTTTGCAGTATCTTCTGTTTTAATGTTCTGTGCTAATATTAATATATTTTAAATTAAAAAAAATACGTGTCAATATTTAAAGTCTTACATATATTTGTTTTCAATATGATACACTCGAATTCCATAATTTACTCTGATACGAGAGAATAAATTATTGTAGATATTTCTAGTAAAATAGATTTTAGAAAATGAGTTTCACGTAGTTTTAGGAATAAAATAGATATAAACCAAGTAATGTTGGTATGAGGTTTAGGACAACCATATTCATATGTTGAATATGCCACTTAAACATTAACTATGAGATATATATATATATATATATATATATATATATATATATATATATACGCACACACACACACTTTTAGTGTAATAGTTATCGGTCTTATTGTAATCAGCGAACCTAGTCTGTTGCGATTTCTTTCCAAACTAATGCTCCGATACATGAATCCACTTTTTCTCAGAATCATGGATTAAATAGTAGGGTAAACTCATCCATAGCCTTGGTTGATAGCCAATCTAGAAGGACCAATATAAATTCAAAACAATAGAGAATGCAACAGGAAACCACTTTATTATGTTACCCAAGAAGATATAGCAATGCACAGAAAAAAAATAAAAAAGGGAAGTATGACGTCCCTATATATATATATATATATATATAT